ACCCCTTACTTTGACTGTGAGGCGTTTGATAATGAGAACTGGCTCTGAGCTTGTGGAAAGTGGGCGACCAACAAAATGATAAAGGAACAAGGTGTTGGGGGACTGCTTCTGTTGCAGCTCAATCCTGAAAAGGAATAAAGAGCATTAGCAAAGCTGTTTCATAAAAACACAATGCAAATTTTAAAAAGACATCCATTTGCTTGAATCAAGAAGAATTCACCAGTGAGATGAGATATTAGACTAAACTAATCGACAAGTTCTCACCATTTGGAGAGCAGGAGAGACTTCCCTGAGCCGGGACCACCAGACACCAGCAGAGGAGGGGTGGGAGGGGGAGCAGCTATCATGTCATTCAAGCGATCAATATACTGAGTAGAGGAGGACAATAAATACAACTCAGAGAAATTAATTAATAAATTATTAGACTGGAAGACAAGATTGAAGATTTGGAAAGAGGATTTTTGCCCTACCTTCTGGAAGCCTAACTGAGAGGTGGTGCTGCTACAAGCCTGCTGATAGGACTCGATCTGTTCCTGTTCATCATGCAGGTCCCACAGCACATCTCCAGAGTCTTCCTCACGCCCCTCCTCTATCCCAGAGTCCTTGGAGTCAACTTCCGCTCCTTCAAGACCCAGCAACTCCTAGAGGCACAGGGTGGAATTAGTAGTTTAAAAGGTTGTGAGGGACATGAGAAGTGTAGATAAATCATTATGAGTTGATGAAAAAGGCTGAACTAAAGGATCACTTTCTGTACCTGTTTGATGACTTTCTCCAGCTGAGCATATATTAGGTCAGCACCATCCTCTGCAGAACCATTATGATCCACCACCTGAGTTAATGTTCAAAACATGTCAGCACAAGACATCTAGCAACCAGGAAAATACAAATTGTCAGCTTTAAAGTCAAGGAATTGTGTGCAACTCTGCAACATGGACAATGTAGAAAAGAGCATTTAGTGAAACTATTCTGGATAATAAAGACTATTTATCAAAATGCACATGAATATACGTCTTGCTTTAAATGTCAAACAATTTATAAAATGCACTTTCACAACATTTTGAATAGACAGCTATTATGCTGAACAAGGTAAAATATTAGCTTTTATATAACTTTAGATACTTTGTGAAATATCTCCTCCACTGTATCTTTGTTCATTTAATATACAGCACACTCATTCACCTTGACTTTTGCAGCCTTGTCTGCAGCATTGACCCTTTCTAGCAGTTGCCTGGTGGGCCCAGTCAAATTGTGATCTTCATCAGTCCTGAGGTAGAGCACCAGTGGATGGCCATCTGGATTCTTCACAAAAGCTTCCTCACAATCTTCCACCGCAGAGCTACACATGTGCATTTTGCATGAATAACAGAACAAAAATGTACATTTATGTAAAAAATAACGATTGAATCAATGTATAATTTTCATTACATGGTGATATCCTAGTGAGAATAGGTATAGGACTCTCTGTACCTAGTGACAGTAGATTTGAGAAGAAGCACACACACAGAGCTCTTTTCAATCTCCTGCTTGCGCTCCACAGCATATGAGGCAGCACTTTCCTCTGGGAAGCAGATATTCAGGTAGAAATGGCCGAGACCCTCACACATCTTCCGCAATACAGGAGAGTGTTTCTGTAATCAAAAAATTAAGTACAGGTTTCCCAAGGATTAATGGTAGTTCTTGACAAAAGTGGCACTTTAAATCAGATGAACTCACATTGTTTTTTTTCAGTCTGACATTTAGACTAGTCTCAAATTAACCAAAGGTTGATTAAAGGTAATCTAAGTCTAAATGCAGTCTTAAATCAAACCTCTATGAGCAGGTTTAACTTCAGATTAATACTGTCTGTCAATAGAGACATATTGATTATTTTGTCTACTTTGTTTCAGTAGAGACCAAGTATTCTTGCTCAAATCCTGCTCCTGTGTTATTGTATGCCGTGTCCAGGAAACCCAAAAAGGTGAAAAACATAATTCTACTATATCGCATGGACACAAAATTTTACAGTTTGTTGTATTACAGTGCCAAAATAAACCAACCTTAATAAAGACATCCAGCTCAGCTTTGGTCTCCTGGGTAAAGATTAAGTAGCAGCGCACTGTGTTACTCCATAAGGCCTGGGGCACGTGAGGGGAAACCTGAAGCAGACTGGCCACTGCAGCATCCCAGTCATCTAACAAAGACAGACACACACAAGTGTACAAGTAAAACACATGAACAGACACTATACTTCAGAGGCTATCCATACTAAAAGGCTATACCAAGCAGGGGCAGAGATGTTTGGCTACTTCTGCCCTGCCTACAAGTTTACTTTACTTACCTCTGCTCACATTTGCAAAGGGTCCCTCCACATCTATCAAACTGTGTGCAAACTCGGGTCCTCGGAAGGTCTGTTGCAACTGCATCATGCTGCCCATAGAGGGCTCACTTCCCAGCACACCACCAGTCCAGTATTCACACTGTGTCCCAGCAGCTAAAGACATTTGGTGAATAAATTAAACTATGTTTTTAATATTTCATCATATACAAAGACCCTAGATATGTGGGATAAAAACAAAAGCATGGCAGGATAGGCTCTTGTCTCTCTGTGTCCCTGAACAGTAATGTGTAATGTAACACATTGATTGATTGATTGATGAATAAAACATTGTGGATTTCTGGGTCTTACCAGTGACAGTGGTTTGGTTGTCATCTGAGTCAGAATCATTTGGGTCATAGACTTGGATGCCCTGAGCCTGCAACTGTTGCAGTTTGGCCTCCAAGTCCCTTTTAGCCCGCAGAAGATCCTGAATCTCCTTCTCTTTTGTCTCACGGAAAATCTGGTGGTCATTTAGCCAGCAGGTTAGGGATGCAATTGTGATCACTGGAGAGAATGTTATATAGTAATATGTGAAGTGGTTTACCTTAAACTGTCGTTTTACTTTGTCCCTGTCATGTTCAAAAGTGGCAGCCCTCTCCATAGCTTGGTACTTTGCCTCAAGAGCACTTTCTTTTTCTCTAAGGATTTTCTGGTAGGTCTTCTGCAGAGCCTGTTGCCATATTGAGAATGATTAACACCACAATAGGAACATATGAACTCTTAAAACATCCACAAACCTTGAATGCTAAAATGAGCCGGTTGGTACTGAATCTTGGTAGTCTTGGTAGTCTACGGTTTGCTCATTTTACCTGTAGCTCAGCTCTCAGCCTCTTGTTCTCTTCATCTAGTTTAGCTTCCTTCTTTTGCATGGATGATATCTCGTTATTCTTGCTGACACGGAAGATTTCATACTCTTTACGGAGTCTTTCATACTCGGCAGCATATTCAAGATCCACAGAACCTGTGGATTTGAAACTGGCCCCAATCACCCGAGGTCCTCTGCGAAAGGAACTGCGCAGGAGTCGGGCTTTGGGTTTGACTTCCACCGGGATCTCGCAGGCTTCCCCACCTTCACCCCCATATCCATCCTCAATCACCTCACCTGGGCTGACCAAAGAGGATGCGGTGCCCATGGTGACAGCCTAAACTTTTCGGATGCCCATATCTGTTCCTGTGAGATAACAGACGGGACACGGATGGGCAGTGAAAACTACTGAAAAACTTGAGAAAGATGATTGTGATGGTGTGCTGTACCATAAACGCAAAACAGCCAGTCAATGTATAGATACAGCCACAAAATTAACTTGCCTTCTACAAAAGTAACACCTCACACAACCGTTACTCTAGGGGGGCGTTTTCAGTTATTTGGTAATCATTTCTATTAAACTGATAACGATACACAGCTGTACTTGGTTAGCTAATGTTAGCGTAACGGTACAGAAATAGCTATTCAACCCGCTCGACCAGACATTTACTGGTGTAAGGACAAAAGGAATGATAGGAATGAAAGGAACAATAACTTCGATAAGTATCGTAGCTTTGACAGAATGTTGACTAAAACCCCACGTCTTGATGAAAACACATGAAGCTAGGTTGGAAAACAAGTACACACTTACCGTCCGCTCCCTTCTCAGCTTCTTCCTGGCTGCCTTGGTAACAAGTCGATAATACGGGTGCTTGCACCAGTCAAAATAGGCAAAAGTCAATTCTACGTAATTTGATAATCTGTGCCAGTTAATCCTCGAATTATTGTAACAGAGATATGAGATTGCATTAATTGTACGACTGATACATCATATTTACATTTAGCTTCAAGTTTTTAAATAAAATTCTAATTAATCATTAATCATTTTTTAATGAAATGTATTCAAATGAATTGTTTCATGCATGCATTTTTATAAAGTATGGTAACCTGCATGTTCCAAAAAGCTACATTTACATTTACAAAAGTCCCTCAAGAATATGACAAGTTCTTCAGGTATGGGTTAGATGTGAAGGAGACCTGTAGGATTCATGCAGGTATGTGCCTGGCAATGGATTGTTGTGCAGGATTCTCTTTGTAAGGCTGTGGGTCTTTGTGTTGGAGCAGTTGTGAGTTAGTGTATTTAGTGAGGTTAAATAAAAAAGACTTTAGACCTTTTAAGCCTTATTGAAGACTTTTTTTTTTTAAGATAGCATGCCGAATTTGAACTTGTTGCGCAATATGTGTTGTTAGAGTGTCTGTAGAGTAATCTGTAATTAGGCAGAAGTGTTTTTCACTTCCTCAAGAAGTTAAAAGTTGCACAGTGATGTTCCTTTAGAACATCTGAAGTACTAAGAAGCAAAGATAAGTGTGTTTTGTCCTTAATGCTGGTAAATTCACAACCAGGAGAGTATCTTTGACCTACTAAGGTTCTCCAAACAAGCACAGACCACAGTCATTACTCCAAAAATAAAATTTGAGAGGCTGCCTGGTAAAAAGATGGAATAATTAATATTTTACATGTGCAGTATCTTTCGTTACTTTGTAATAGTACATTATAGAGATCACATTCATGTGTTAACCCACAGGTGAATGCTTTCATGTCAGAACACCACACTAAAAATGACACAAAAAGAGGACAATTTGTTTGAAGATGTTTATTTTCTACATGATGATATTTGTTACTCATTGGTCATCTCCCCTATTTTTATAGAACATCTGGAGCAATTTGTTCCTGTAGGCTTGGTTCAGGAAGAAATACATAACAGGGTCCAGTATACCACTGACACAGGTAAGTGCAGATGTGATCTTATTGGCTCTTCCCAGCAACTCACGGCTTGTGGCAGTCATATTGCCATGACTATGAATTTCTATATAGATTACCCGGCTCACATGGTAGGGAACAAATGCAACAAGGAAGTTCAGCACAATGAGGATGATCATTTTTATGGCTTTGTCTTTCACTGGTCGTTCTACTTGTTGCTTGACTTTCCTTAGTTTCAGCAGAATCAGTATGTACGAAACCATTATGGTGGTGAGGGGAATAACAAATGCCACAATAGTGGAAACCAAAGCAGTGGGAGATGTCTTTTCTAAGTACAGCTTGTTGCAGATGCCAGTTGAGTTGTTGGTCACATTCTTAGAAAAAAGTGTAGGACTCATAGACACAATAACTGTCACCCATAGAATGCCAACAGCTACATTTGCATATTTAGCCTTCCTAACTGACTGTGATGTTAGAGGTAGAACCACAGCCAGAAATCTGTCCAGGCTGATCAGACTCATTAAGTAGAGACTGCAGTACATGTTTAGATAAAACAGGAAGCCTGATAGTTGACAGATGACATGCCCAAGGGGCCAGTGGCTATCAGAAAGGTGGTAAACTATTCGCATTGGTAAAATGAGGATATAAGAAATATCTGCTATAGAAAGGTGCCTCAAGAAGACCTTCGATGGAGACGTGCTGTCCTGGTGAAAGAAGGCCCACAGCGCCAAAGCATTCCCTGGCACAGCGATGATGAAAATCAGGATGTAAAATGTAGAAAAGACAATGTTCTCTTGGTGGGAGTCACTGCCATAGAAGCCCTGTATCTCCTCCTCAGAGATATTCATAGTTGATGTGTAGCAGATCAGCCTGGTGCAGCAAATAACAGACACAAATAACCTGTTATGATGATTGACAGCGATCATAGCCTCCAGTCAAATGACATTTGTATGATTCACCAAATCATATATTGTTTTATCATAACAAAAGTAAGAATGCAAGGTGTGCATGTGACAATCAGATGACTTGAATGATGTGAGAACCCACATCAACCCACATGCAAAACCATGTGGGTTGTTAAATTAGAAACAGGAAGTGTCCTTCTAAGACTTCATTGTAACCACTGTTGCAGAAAACAACATAAAAAAACATTAACTACAGCTAAACATCTTTCAAGAGATTAAAAAAAAATGTTCAGCATTTTATTCTAAGGTTTAAGATAGTTTAAAAGGTGAAAAAAAGAAATCAGTCATAAAACAAATCACATTCATAATATAAACATAACACGTTTTTGAATCAAGTGGGTTAAATTTGTGTTAAAAAAAAAGGGTTTTCTCCTTTTATAGCAAACAAGAACTGGTAGTTGTATCCACCATCCAGTGCATCTGGTTAAATGTAGACACTACCCCAAAACACCACTTAATGGCTTTAAAATCTGATTAAAAACAAAGACACAGGAATTTCAAAAGATGATTCAAGTGCTCCATGGCTGCTCTGTTAAAATAAATTAGTGTTTGAGGTAGTTTAAGCAATAAAATGTATAAGCTACACGCTTAAGCATGATTTGTAGTTAAAGCGCCACTAATTTGTACTAAACTAATATCTTATAAATCATGTAATCAAATGCAAGATTGTAAAAGTAAATTTTGACCATAAATCTCATCTCTGCGTCAATAATAATTACTAATATCCTTACCTGTAATTGTAGAGCCACAGAATTCAACTATATAGTTAGATTCAATGGAAATGAGTGTGACGACAGGTGGAAGTGGAAGTGAGAACCTTTGTTTTGTGTGGCGCCTCTCTGCTTTCGTATTTATACACACAATAACACACGCACAAACACGCACACACACACGCACACACACACACACACACACACACACACACACACACACACACACACACACACACACACACACACACACACACACACAAAACCCACACACACAAAAACTCATTTACACAGGAAACCAGAAATTAAAGATAAGAAATTAAAACATTGAAGCTCAATGCCTTACAAGCATGCAAGTCTTTATTTTTGCTACTCCAACACAGTTTTATCTTTACCACATTGCTCCTTTATAGTATGATTTAAAGCTTTACAAAAAGGAGGAGAAAACCAAATATTTACAAAAATCTATCTGTGCAAACACAATTCTTCTTTTACACCACTCTCCTAAAGTATTTGAAAGGCATGCATACAAATAAACTTTGGTATGTTAACAAAACTACTTATTTCCTTAGTAGAAGCATCTATGTACACATGGTAGAACTGATTCATTACTTTTGTTTTTAGTACAGTTTATACTTAGACAACAATACATGTTAACTTAAAAAAAAACACAACCAGCAGTGTATACACTGTGGTCAACACTTCAGCCATCACACCAAGAGAGTGCATGTAAATTTCCCCAAATCTTGTGACTGGGTTAGGCTTGAAGTGAGTCATTGTAAAACAACTTTGGCAAAGAGGCACACTAAAATGAAAACTTGTATTATTCATGATACCAGTTTTACATCTCTGTAAAAGAAATTGGCAGTTCATATGGGTGAGAAATGAGAAAATACTCTCAGAAAACAGAAGTTCAGAATGAGTTCAACTTTAAAATGTCTGTATACGTTATGTATACACTCATAAAAGGCATTTACAAGACTGCTGAATATCTGGCAACACAAGAAATATAGAAGATTAAATATACTATGGTTATTCAATCTCTGGTTTGAAAAATAAAACACAATTTTTACATGGTACTTTGTGATTGTACATCAACTCTATATTCCCTATTCATAGCTACAGCAAGAAAAATAGATTTTCAACACCACGAAAGCCTTCCACTTCAACTACAAAGTGGTAATACTAAATAGTTTTTAGTTCCATTGCAAAATTTTTTACGAGAGCATCTGTTACACCTTCAAGAGAGAATCAAAATCCATGTAAGTATGATCCAAAATTTGAAAATGCAACTCAAAAGGAGATAAAAGCATCGGTGTGAGAATGCCAGTGTCAAATAAAACATGAATTGGGCGAGTGCATCACATAATACTTTTACAAAAACTCTCAAAAATAGAAAAAACAAAACAAAAAAAAACAACAAACCAAAATTATATAAAAGAAAACATGACCAAGTCTACCTGCTATGCAGTAAAGCCAGCGGGGCGATAATGGGGCTAAGTAGTGTCCTTAGCTGCTGTGGATGTTGGGATGCAGGATTTGCCGCTGCTGCCGTTGTGGGACCTGTAGCTGGTGAAGCTGGGGGTGTGTATGGTGCGGATGCTCTTTCCACCTGGGCCCAAAGGTGTGGGCGACAGAGGGGAGGGGGAGGAGGAGGAGGATGAGGAGGAGGAGGAGAATGAAGAGGAGGAGGAGTGCACTCGACCATTCTGAGTCTGCGAGGAGAACGAGAGAGCTTTACCTGTGTGCTGTGAGGGTGTGGGGAGTTTGAGGGATCCGTTAGACAAGGAGGGGATGTGGGAGGAGGGTAGGGAACCGGAACGAGGAGTATGAGAGGACAGGATGGAGGACTTTGTCAAAGAGGAGGAGGAGGAGGAGGAAGGGTTAATGGGATTAGTAGCATCTGAGTTTTGTGCAGACTGGGAGCTGCCTTTAGTAGAGCTAGGATAAAAAGCAGGGATTTTAGAGATGGGTATAGTAGGGGAAGTAGTTTTATGATCCCCTCCCACTCTTTTAGCACTTCCGTTAGCCTGCAAACAGAGATGCCAAAACAGATACTGGTTGTCAAAATAGAAATCTGGTCAAATAATACATATAAAAGGCAAGACGATGTTAAATAAAACTACAAGTTAAACACAGAGAAACACGCTATGACTACACAAACATTAATATTACTATGACACGACTAAAAGACACCAAAAACAACATATACAGAAGCTGTTTCCACTAGGTTACATGAAAGGTGAGACACACTGAACTGAGAGACATGTTACCAAGAAACAGAACACTGCAAAGGTTAGACAGTGCGTTGGCAGACAGGAGGGGCATCTCTACAGACTGCCTGTGTGTTAGAGGAGTTGTTAGGTTTTTATGAAGGGGCTGTGGGGGGAGAGTTCAGAAGGTAGAGCTGCATAGGAGGGCTGGAGAGAGTCAGATATCAGGGTTAGGAGTTTTGAAGAGTGAGAGCAGACAGGGAAAACGTGGGGCAGTATTCCAAGATGGTGAGTTGTGCCGATGTCTTGAGGGTAAGGAAATATATCACCGTGAGGTTAAGAAGCTATGCAGTGATGTTGGGTTTGAGCAGAGGTGCATTGTGAGAAGGGAGGAGCATAGCCAAAAAGTCAGTTAGGTTTGTGTTTTAACATAGCCGTAAGCATCCTGGGAACACTGTTTAGGAACTCAGCTGTGATGGGAATTGGAGATGTGATGACAACTCAGATGATGAGGGGATAGGATTCCACTTTTCTTTGCCATTTTTCCTTTTTTTTTTTTCCTTTTTTTTTTTGTTAAGTCACCAACACAGTGAAGACCATGAGCAGTGTGGACATGCAGAAGCATACAGTACAGTGATGTTATGGGGTAACAGTCAAAAGTCAAACATGCCTTCTTGTCAGAGCAGACTCGAGAGAAACATTAACAGATCCACAGTCGCCACCGTGGTGACTTTATTATTTTTTTTCAAAACACTTGAAATCTCACAGCTTTGGTAGTCTTTTTCCCCCTTATAATACATGCCTCATGTTTTCGATCCCTATATATTCGTTTCCTACAGTCTCTGGTAAGGCCCTACAGTAAAACTACCTGTCGGAACTGCCTCTGAGCGTCCTGCAGTTTTTGCTGTTTTCCTGCTTTGTCAGTAGTACCCGGCGACTGCCTGGACTTCGCAGACAAAGGGACGGGCATCCGACTAGTGGGGGAAGCGACACTGGTGTTCTGCAAGGGGATCCAAACGAAAAACAAAACAAGAAATAAAACAAAAGAAAGGAAAAAAAACACACACCATATAGGAAGTATGAAAAATCAAGGAACTAACAGGTAAAAACAACCTGTTCATTCAACACCTCAATGATCAACACCAGTGAAAGATCATGCACCCCCTGGGACCATAAATCATCAAGTCAATATACATAGTACATGCAGTCAAGAATAAGGAAGACATCAGAGATTAATCATCATGTGAGTGTCTTTGATGATGAATTTGCCACTTGCTGAAAACCTCAGAGTTTTAGCAATGAACTGAAGGAGAAAGATGGTAGCCAGGAACCCAACAAAATGCCACCCCCAATCATGTCACCATGATTTCACAGAGGGAGAAAGCTATGGGGGACATTTCCGACATTTCCAAGCACCTGTGGAGCGGATTAATGATTCTGTAATTTCAGTGGTTAGGGTTGGAGTGAAGGTAGGTTGGAAAAAGAAGGACCCAAAGCCTCCCGGAGCAACAAAAGCTAGAGAGAGACCTGTTGTACGGTGCTGGGGGCACTGGGGACAGTGGCTGTGGAGGTGGTGGTAGTGGTGGTAGTAGTAGGGATGACTACAGGGCGAGGAAGGAGCTGTGGTTTAGTCTTCTTCTGCAAGGAACTTTTGCTGGGTACCTTAGGGCCCGACCCTCTGGAAGTAGGGAGAGAGGAAGACCTCTTCAGTCCCACTCCTTCTGGGCTTTTCCCATTCCCTGCTTTAGCCTCCTCCATAGAGACTGGCTCATCGGGGGAGCGTGGTCCCATCTCACTAATAGTGGTCTCCAGCTGCTTGATGGTCTGCTCCAGGCTGTCCAGTGTCTTGTAGGTGTTCTTCCGGATCTCATCTGTCCTGCAGTGGGACTCGGAGTTCTGCCTCTTTACCACGGCCGAGTTTGTTGCCTTCTGGGTGTCCGCTAAAGATTTTGAACGCGCAATCTCAAATCTCTTTGCTTCTTTGTGCTGCCTGACAGTACCGTCGGATTCCTCCTCGTCTTCATACACAACAACCTGTAGAGTCTTCTTGCCTGACTTGGAGCCTGTACGAATCGCCTGGGTCAGTGCCGCGAACTGTTTCTTAGGGAACTTAAACTTGAACTTCTTCTTACTGTCCTGCTTGGCGTCTCCATTCGACTCCAAGTTTATTCCACTGTCCGTTAGTTCAGATACTGAAGACGAAGATGAGGATGATAAGCTGACATGATCAGCAGTGCCCTGTGAAGAGCCGACCTTTTTGCCATCAACCGTTTCGGTCCCTTCAGCTTTTACCTGCAGCCCACCACTCCTCTCTGTGTCTGACTCCTCACTCTCCTCCTCAATGCGCTCTTCTGCGAGCATCCTATCCAGTTCCTCCTCACATTCAAATATGGTCGACAGGCGCTTGTATGCTGAACGGATGTCCATGGGCTCATCAAAAATGATGATGACGGGCTTCTTGTTGAAGCCATTATCCTGCGGTACAGAGGGACTCGCTGTGGTGTTCCCACGGTTTGCGGCACCACCTACAGTGACTGTCTGCACACTTCCCTTCTTGGCATTGACAAGTTCCTGGTACTCACCACACGATAGGGCCTGAACCTTGGTGTTCGTGATCATAAATGCTATGTTGTCCGGGGGCGGAGGTGCCTCTTCTCCAGGTAGATCAGGACTAAGACTGGCCCCCTCATCATCATCCTCACAGTTAGATTTAGGTGGATCACTGTTCTCACTAGGAGCGTTGTTAGTTGGGGCAACAGAACCTTTAGACACCTCTTTTACAACGCTGGTTGTCGTGGTTTCCATAGGCTTGGATATTATATTCTTACTGGAAGAAACGTGCTCCTGGATGATTTTACTTTTCTTTTCAGTGTTAATTTTGTTGAGGATTTTTCCCTTCTCCATTTCTGCCCTGGTCTTCAAAGATTCGGAGCGCTTAACTTGCTTCTTCGGCAGTTTTAATCCATTCAGTCCCGCAGGCTTAGGTGATATAGGTGGGGGAGATTTGGGTGGCGGAGACTGTGGCTGCTGCTGCTGCTGTTCCTGGCTTGGAGAATTGTCATTAACATTGACATTTGACACCTGTGTTGGAGGTTGTGTGGGCTCTTGGTGTTCGGGGGTTTCCTCTGTTCCTGACGGGGGTGGATGATCTTTAGGAATCTGGCCAGTCACATAGTATATGACCTGTGATTGTGGAATTAAATCAGATAGTTATTATTCAAAAAACTTCCACACTCTAGGATATAAACTAAATATACATGAATATAGTGTCAATGATCAAAAGGCACACATACCCCTTGGCTCTGTCGCATAGTAGTATTCCCATTTTCATCTGTGTCTGGATCTTTATCCACTCGACTGGGCTCTGAGCTCTGCTAGGACAGTGCGTGAGGGAATAATATTACTGTGCAACTGGTGTGCCAGGTTGCTGTGGATTAACTGTGATTTCACATACATGACTGTTGTAGCATCCATGATTGGGCAATTACCTTGTATAAGACAACAGTAAAATATTTACAGTATTTACTGCTCAGATTTACTTCAGTTTCATAGCGCATGAGATCACTTTTAAATGCTGTTCGGATATAAATGCCGTATATCAACGTGCATGCAGGGCAAATATATAGATTCAGCTTTTTAAAAGCTAATACTATAAGCTTTTATTTCGTTATTCAAAGCTAAACCCTGCCTGTTCAGCCTTTAGTTTTTGCACATGCCAAAGCTGTTTTTATTTGTCTCTGGTCTCTAGAGTTTATTCTAAATACATCCTATTTCCTGTCTTGTTCAGGCGGTATGTACTACTGATATGCAAATGACTTCTCATACTATTTTCATCTCTGTGAGATAACTTAGCAACAGTCATTGCGAAATTACTGAAAAGTGCCATCTTTAATGTTTTATTATTTACAGTAGCTACTACCACTCTAATTCCTACTCAGACAGTTATATGACATGTTTTAAAAGCTTGGCTGTAATTTAGTCAAATTAGTTGCACTTGAACATACCTGTCCTCTTTTGTCATATAAAAAAAAAAAACATTATTTACTGTTTAACCTAAATGTTAAAAAATTAAAGGGCTGTGTTGGTTATATAGGTGTAAAGCTGGGAAAGCAAATTGAGGTAAAGTTGTGCAAAGACAAAGAGAAACAGAGAAGTAATTCCCCAGAAAAGTACAAGTAAGGGAGAGGAGCATGCAAAGTGGCCAGACTGACCTCTAGTGAACCAAGTCTGCAAAAACAGGTTGTGTCCACAAAGTGAGTTTTGACTACAATGTTTCTCTCAATTGTCAATCTTTTTAAGAAATATCTGTTCTGTTGATTTTGTATGAAGACATGTCATTAAAGAAAGACACAAGACGATTTAATTGCCTGTAGAATACAGTGCCGAGGTCTTTATTGATTTGGAGAAAATGACAAGTGATAATTAAATCAGTGGCAAAACACATCATTGTCTGGTCCAGACGCACAAAAGACACAGCATCTTTTCAGAGGCTTCATTTTATGCAGACTTAATCCTGAAAATTCAAGCTGTGATATCCGGCAGAATCAAAAGAGGGAAGGAAAACGAGGCGGTAAGAAAAGGAGCTTTTTGGAGGCGGCTGTTACAGGTTTCTCTCGAGCCAAAGCAAGGGTGCAAGAGTTGTAGAAGGGTTAAGATACAGCCATCGATTGTATCAGACAGTTGGCAGAGGCAGGCAGTTAGCTGGGTAGCTGCACGGCGATGTATATTTTACCTTTTTCTCTTTGAGGGGCAACATGGCCCCTGGTCTTAGTTCTCTGATTTGCGGTTCAATTCGAGTGGTGGGCTCTACCAAATTTTTCACCCCTACATCCTTAACTGTGCACTTCTGGAAAACCTGAAGAGTGGGGAAAGGTGAAGGGGGGTGGGGGGTGGGGACAAGGATTTTGGGGAGGGAAGGAGTTTGAGAGTCTTCACCACGGCCACAACCATAAAACCCCACACCTGACAAAATTAGATTTCAAATGGCAGCTGTCAGTGGCCATCCTTTGCCACTACTGAGGAAGTCAGCAACCATGGGAAGAAATGATAGGCAACCCACTCCCACAATGCAGAATGCGGCAAAATCAAGGACACCTGAATAGACCCATCAACTGTGTGTGTTTGGGGGAGTGTTTGTGGAAGTGTTTGAGTGTACAGGTGCATCTAACCTGGAGCTCTGCCATGATCTTGTCCCCTTCATCCTCCTCTTCTCTGGTGACAGAAGCAGTAACGGGGGGAGGGGTAGCGGGCTTCGGCTTGGTCTCTGGTGGAACCTTGGGCTGGGTGGGCTTGGGCTGGGGAGTGGGAGGCGGGACCTCCTCTTCACCCTCCTGTAAGAAGTGATGTCATTGATACCATTCTCACATCTGCATCATAAGCCGCAGCTGCTGTTCGACCACATTTCACAAACATTACCAAACTGACCTGAGCCGAGACAGACTCCTTCCTGCTGGTGTAGACCACCTCACCAGAGCGTGTGGTGGTCATGCCTGAGCTCGAGGTGGGGTAGGTCTTCCTCGGAGGAGGTGGTGGTGGTGGTGACTTGCTGGACTTTTCAGACCCTTGCTTGGTAAAACCGTCAGTGGGCGCCGGCTTGGTGGCAGTCTTGGAGTGTCTCTCCAGAGCGGGCTTGGCTGGTTTCTCCGTCAAAGGCTTCGGAAGTTTTTCAGGCCCCTTTTTGGCTGGTTTGTCAGAGTCAGGCTCAGACTGGGGCTCTTCTGTCACACAGACCAATGAAGTTTTATAAGAAGAAATAATTAAAAGTGTGTCCATATTTCTTTTTTTCTTTTTTTTTAAGTAACATTTGTGTTAGATTTGTACCTGAAGTTGCCTCCACAGGATTGTGGATGTCTGCTTGTTCTCCGCTGGCAGCAGGTGCTGGGTTCTCTTCTACCTCTAGACTGGGAATGCCCTTCATCATGTTGGCCTGGGCTTCTTGGAGGATCTTCTCAAACTCTTTTCCATCGTAGTGACCCATGTTCTGCCTTCTCTCTTCCCACTCCTTCTCTGCTGCCTACAAGTTGCAGAGAAGGACAAAGAAAGATAGAAAAATACAAATAGGTTTTCTGTTTCTGAGTTAGAAGAGTGAAGGAATGTTATTCCTGAGACAAAAAAAACAAAACAGAACAAACTACAATAGTATAAAATAAAGCAGTTCAGAGTGGTTTGATATTTACAGGATGCTAATGAGAGAGTTTGACCCTGGCCAGGTGACATATCATACCTCTATGGACATAGCTCTGTTTTTGCTCTTGTCATGACTGCTCTGCAGCTCCTCTATGACAAGATCCTGGTTGCCATTATTCACTGGGTTCCCTTGTGCCTTCTTATGACGGGCGGGACTTGGTGGATCCGAGGATGCACCCTTGGGAGATTCTCGGCCTTGACTCTTGCTTGCATTGGGACACGGAACCTGAGTGGGGTTGGGGGTAAGCGGGGGACTGGGCTGAGCAGTAAGGGCTGCAGACTGCTGGGACTGCTGCATGTGGACCGGGGAGCTCTGGACATGATGGATGACCACTGGGGAGGAAGGCATCACCCCTGATTTGATGGTGGAGTTCTGGAGCTCCGGTGGGGCTGCGGTGGAGGTAGGCTGGACTGATATTGGGGGAGCTTCGGCAGGGGTCTCTACTGCGGCTGCTGAAAGGCTGTTATCCACTGGGATATTAGCAGAAGGATCAGGGCCCCTTTGAGAACCCTCAGTGGCATGTCTGCAGAGAGAAGGGAAACACTTTGGATTACAAACCACATAGAAAACACTGGGTTTCTACATGGTTTTCCAAGAGAGTCATGGGGAGAGAGAGAGAGAAAAGTCTAGAGTGAGTGTGGTATCTGTGACATATTAAAATGGAAATGAGGTTCTGCAGTGTCCACCAAATTAATTCACTTATCGGTTCAGTGAAGACGATGGAAGTAAATCAAACTGGACGCCGTACTCCTCTGTCCACACAGACTGACCTCTTTGATGGGATGAGGGCCGGCTTGCCAGTATAATCAAACAGTACAATCTCCCACATCTCAGACCTCTGTGAGAAGCTCTGCAGAGTGCTTTTTGTTTTCATCTCACTCTCAGCCACCGCACCCTAGCGACCTCGTCTCCTGATCCCTACTTTATCTCCTTTGACATTTATTTATTTATTTATTTTTTTACCTTCTCAGACTGCTGAGTGTGTCAGTCAAGCTCTTGACCCTTTTCAGCATGCTGTCCAGTTTATGAGGCTCCTCCTTCAAAAACTTGACGGCTTCCACTTCCACCCTGAGCACGGCCCGCATCCTGGTTTGTAATGCCGGGAACTCTCCTGATGACAAACGTGCATGCATTGCTTTCAATATTATCACTTATCTTCTTTCAGTGGAATTTTATGGTGCTATGATCTTTCCGTGATATTCTACTACAAATTAATAATTAAATATTTATGTCCTTGTTTTACACTTCCTTGTTAGGTCTCATGTAATGGACTATTTTACTCTGTTTTTGCATACATATGACATCTTATAACATTTCATATCGGAAAATATCCTATAAAAATACTGATTGCCAAGAGCTCAGTCTGTTAATTAAATAAGACAGTAACTTAGAAGAACCCATCTGATATGTCTGACACATTAGTTATTAGTAATTATTAGATTTAGATTTTCTCAGTAGTAATTGTATTCTCTGTAGTCTTACCTTTGAGCCCTGCCAGAGATTCTCCCACCTTCCTCAGAGTCACCGCTCCCTCTTCCACATCCTTCAGGGTCACCACTCTGTGTGTCGCTGCTGAGTCCTTCTGCAGAGAGCCGACATACTGCTCCAGCTCACTGCACAAACAGAACAAACCAAAACAAACCAAAACAAAAAAAAAAAAAAAACAGCACAGTGGGAAGGACAAAGAATTTAGAGCTTGAGAGAAACAAGTTTTTCAGTACAAAGAAAGTTGACTTTAAGGCAATGGAGAGAACATATCTGACTGACTTCTTCCCCCATGAAATAAATAATTATTTATTATATTCATAGGATGAAACATTTTAATTATACTTTAAGTTCTGTTTTTGTTACTGATATACTGACATTTATGTTCCAGGGCGTGTTTTTAATGTGGGGAAAAAGACAGAAAAAGAGACATTCACATAACTATTACTCTATACAAACACCAGGGGGCAGGACACAATCACTTATCTTAAAGATCATACAGTGTGGTTGGGCAAAGGTGAGAGCAGACTTAGGAATATTAACCGTAAAAGTAAAAAAGAGAATTATAAATTGTAAAATATGTACAAGAATTAACAATGAGAGTAAACCTTCCCACTGTGCACTGCACTTCCCTGTCTAAATGAAACTGCTTAGACTAGACTGGATTGGAACCGTGCCCGAAACCACAAATGTTTACATACTGAATGAGGGCTTATTTGTGACAGAGACACTTCCTCACAGAGAAAACATACCACGCAGCTTCGCAGCCATCCCGGTGCTCGAGAAAACTGGCTACTCCATGGGGAAATGTGCCAAACGATAACATTGTGTGCGGTGTGGGATTGCATGAGAGGGGCTAAAATGGTGTTTCATTGTGGCCAGGTACCCTTGAGAAACACTCTTTTATAGAAGTCCCCTAAAGGGAGTGGGAAAGGCAAGAAGGAGGCTGTGTCATAAATGCCCTCCTATGTTAAGGCCTGTTGGTAATGGGAATGATGATGGGAAAATTCCAGCTGACGAGAAAGGAAACAAAAACTAATTTTTTATCAAACCTCCCACAGATAAAAAGATACAGTATTTCATCATAATATACATCACTGTGTGTCAGAGCATAAGAGGTTCACAGACGCTCTAATGAAGTACTTAAGATAGCATTTGTTTGATGAATCATCATCAATCATATTCTCTTTCATATGCGGTAAATTACTGTTATGGACTGAAATTTACAGTATGGGATCCCACACATGTGACTTAAGATGAGAATAGCTTGAAGCACTGTAGCTGTTGAGATAAAAACTGACTTGAGAGTAAGTTTGTGGATAAATGCTCAGTTTTTTTGTTCTGTGGAGGCTTTGTCACCATCATCAGTGCTCTCCACTGACAATAACAAACCATCCTATTTAATACTCCTGAGACTAATTTGTTTGCTTTCTTTCTCAAGTCATCCTGTCCTTGGATTACTAGCAAACTATTCCACATAGTACCAGTTGCACAATTTAGTAGTGAGCCTTGTTGCTACAGTTATAAAATGTTTAAAAAAAAAAAAGAAAAGGTGTCATCATAGGTCAATCCTCTTGAGGGTGCAGTGCTTTTCACACCACATTCTCCTTAAAGCCAAGCAGCACTAATAACCTAAGACTTATTCAAAGTGCCAGCAGCCATGTTCTGCCAACTTACAACTGCCTACAGTAGATACCAAGGGTAACTGAGAGTTTAATCCACCTACTTCCGCCTTGTTCATTTCCCAGCCTCTATGATCTGCTATCATTGTGTTCATTGGAGCGTAAGTTCACCGCTATCTAGCAAGACAACACTGTTTGACCTTGCCTGTAAACATCCAAATAAAATTACTGCTCCCTGTTGGCAAGAAGCTGCAAGTGAATTAAAATAAGAGCAGAGCAGTGAGTAATTACTCCACAGTTGAGTCCATTGTTCTAGACTGCTGTCTGTGAGAGGCAGGCACTGCTTGCCTGTATAAACCTGTGGGCTGTAATTTGGAGGGCGTTGGTTTGTCAAAGAGTTTAGGATTGAATAGCTCAGGTGAGCTGGTAAAAATGAAGCCTTTTGGGGATTTCCTATAAATGGAAGCACCTTGACTGGAGCCACATGGGTGTGTACTGAATCAGCTTTAATTCTTGTCCAAGACTCTCATGAAAGGAATTAAAACCACTAACAGTAAACATTCAGTAATGAATGCAAACAACCACATCCACCCTGACATATGAAACATAACGCCTGCTGTGGAAGTAAATCAGTCAATTTTTGAACAGCCTTACCCGAGTTGTGTAAGGACACGCTCCTCCAGTCCCAAGTACTTGTGCCTGTCCTCTTCTACCAAAGTTCTCTGCCTCTGGACTGGGTCCTCGAGACGCCGCATGGCCTCTGCGAGTTTAACACTGATTTCCTGTTCTGCCCGCTTCAGCTGAACCCGTAATGCCTCCTGGTTCTGGAGCTGAACGGAAACACACAGTGGAATGTGATATTGCAGGACCCGCACTACCAAACCAACATGCAGAGCTTCTGAGATGTCATTCTGGTGCACACTCCCTCACATGCATGCACGCAGGTGGACATCTGAACAGACCACCACATTTTAAATCAATTTAAAGGACATAGAGGTCTTGCCTGCAGCTGTCTCATCTGATGGAGTTGCATCCTGAGGTCAGAAACATTCTTCCTGAACTGCAGGAGGTTGACTTTGAGAGGAACTGAGCCCTTGTCTGATAGGGCTGCACTGCTTTTGGGAGCCAAGACTGGGGAACCACCTGGGCCAGGAAAAAAAAAAAAACACAAAGTTGAAGTTTGTTTCCTGAAAAATCTTACCCAAGTAATACATAAAACAAGAATATGTTCATTTATATGCACATGCTGAAACCTTAAGAACGCCTTGGAGACATCACAGGTCATAACAACTCGTATTGTTGCAGTAAAGCAGAAATTATACCTAAAATTATTGCACAGGCATGTCAAAAAAAGTAAAAGGATGATTCTCCCCTTAGAGGGAGTAGGGTGAGTTGTTCTTTTCCAAACCTCACTCCGTCATCCTGTCTGACTTTCCTCTACAAATTATTGGTTAGACTGTACACGTCTGCATACACATTTTCCCTGCTAACACACTGGTCTTAGTTAATGTTCCTAATGTTTAGTGATGACTGCCTGGACTCTCCCTCTCTCTGTGGTTTCCTTTTCCCTGCACAATAAGTAGAGATATACTGACACTCACATTGGCTGCACCTCTGAAATGTCTGTCAACCGATTTTTGACATTTCAGTCATCGCCAGAGATGGAGAAAAGGTTGAAACCATGGAAACCGAGGGAACTAATATTTGTGGTTTGGGCGCGAGGCCCCAAATGGTCAACAACAATAAATTTAATTCAGCCCACTTTCAGAAACTCCAGCATGAGCTTTGACTTAAGTGCCATCTAGGGCATCTAAAAAGGAGGGGATAATCACCTAAATCAATCCAATCTAAATTTCCTCAGACTTCACCATTAAAGGGTCCACTCAAATTACAAAAGAATATTCTGCCACTTTGCCCTAGGAACAAGCTTTAACAGTTTTCTTGGGTACTATTTTATTCCAAGGTCTGAAAAGACATTAGTGTTGGATTTTGTTTTAACTGTCATTTTTCAAAGCCGTGAGCACTACAAATGAAATTTCAATATCACATTCACTGAAGTGGATTTGAGGCATAAATCTCAAAAGATGGATATCTCAAAACATGGACAAAATAAAACCAAAACTATCTGCATGGCTGGATAGTGAGAAATATTTGTTTTGTGTTGAAGCAATTCTTCAACCTCAAAGACATGAGGTCCATTAAAGAAGGTAGTGTCTCCACTGAGTAACACAATAGGTCAGGGAATGTTCAGAGTGCTATTTAAACTGCTGGGGCAGTAAAAGAACAAACCTTTGTCTTGATAATCCCAAAATTTATTTGCTGCGTCTACCTGACAGCTGCCCAGACCTGAAGTACAGGTTACAATGCACACTGCTGGTTGTGCTTTACGCCTCCGGGACACAATGTGAAGTGCACTCTGTGTGGTAACGATGAGGAAAAATCTGAGGGATGGCCCAAAAAAAATAAACAGCGCCACTAATTTCTCACGTTTGATGTGGGGGCAGTCCGACCAGATCAAAGAGAACACAGTAACTTCTCTGACGTTTTGAAGATTCACTCAAGCACAACATGACATGTAAATCCCTCTGAATGCTGCACATGAGGTTAGTCATGAGACACGAGATTAACTCTCAAGACACATAAATAGCGTTGTGTTTTCTCGCTGCCACTGGTGAGTTTGCAGATCTTTTTTTTATCAAACCTAGATCTAGCCGGAGACCGCTGCAGAGCAGAGATTGAATCGCTGAATCATCTTGGCAGGCTTGAGAACTAATAGCGCCTTGTTTTAAGAAGTGCTTTGAGGGGTTTGTGTTAGCTCTGCTGGCTCTTGTCTCTTAACTCCTATTAAACTGAATGTACAGGGAGGAAGGGGGGGGGGGACATTGTGAGGAAATATGAACCGATGACAAGCAAAGAAGCCTGACTTTGTTTTGCCTCCCTCCAACACTGCTCATTGCGGACTGTTGACTGACACTGCTGTGCAAGGCTTGTCTGCACAAGACATTATGGCGCTTAAACTATTATAAAAAAGAAAAAAAAAAAGTAATGAAATTGCACAGAGTAACACTGATACTAACCTGAGCTATGTGCGCTGTGGGCTGGAGATGATGTCTTTGGTGGTCTCTCACTGCAGCCAGAGAAAAATTCATAAGGGCAGAATTTTGATAGTGAAAAAACAGCATTTTTTGGACACTTTAGATTTACAGGTTAGTATTAGTAAGAACAAACACATTACAACCAAGTATGATGGGAAAGAGTGACAAAACCAGAGAGGTTAAAATGATGTTAATGATGTTAACAAGCTTCATCACAGGAACGTACAAATTCACTGCAGTCACAGACCCTTTAACTGTCGAGCAAACATTAACACAAGGTCTCCACAGTGAAGATCAAAATGCAAAGAGTTGAAATGCAGCCAGATAAACCATACATAGTGGCCTTTTATCTAAAGAGCAAATCATTTCAATATCAGATTCACAGCCTAACTTATTTCCTCTTCACCAGATGCTATTTAACCAGTTTGATATCGCCATTATAGAAGGGATGCTTTATCTTTCCTCCTCTGGCTGGAGCGCCAGGCTTTTCATTTGAAATTTCCCCTGATGCCTCACTCTGTCCTATACTGTGATTGCTTACCTTAGAGGCTCCTTGGTGCCACTAGTGTTTGGCCCCTTTAAAAGTGCATGCTGAACAAGACCAGTCAAGCTGGCAATCTGTTGCTCCATAGCCTTCATTCGCTCTCTGCAGAAACATCAGAAAATTCTACTTTCAACACTGAGGCCTAGTGGAAGTCACAGCTGCCACTCGAGCAAACATTCGCTCAGAATGGAAATGGGGTCTGTAACAGAATAATTAATTGTTTTTGATTACCTGACCATAAATCTTTTTTGTTATTCTGTGGGTGGATTACACAGCTGATATTTGTTTTGCAACTGATTAGCAATTAGCCATTATTGCCTTTGGTCAAATAAATAGTTTCTCAATTCCAGCAGTGCAACAGCACTTGACTAAGTCTCAAAACAAAAAGAAAAAGCTTGAGTCCAAACCCTGAGGTTGACAGTGAGGATGCTTAAGTCATATTCATTTTTTTTTTTTTTTTTTTAAATAACACAACAGTGTGTTATAAAAAATACACAGCCTTAAGACAGCCAAACACCTGAGAGGTGAGGAGGGGACCTTACTGAGATTGCTTGGTAAACCTAGAGGTTGGAAAAGGGAACAACTTTAGTTTTCAGATGTCATCATTTATCTTGAGGAAAGACACAGGGAGGTGGGGTGGGGGGGTGGTCCTGTGGTTTTAGCTGAGCTATAGACAATAGTGAGACACAAGACCTATGTGAACACAACAATGCCTAACCTCAGTGTCATACAGCATATCTCACATGAATACATTCTATGACAGCAAGCGAGAGCACTGGATGTTTATTTTGAAAGCGCTTTTCCCAATCAAATTCCTCCGTTCTTTTGCCAGATTCTTAGGGCATTTCTAATGGGGGGGGGGGGGCTGCCCAGGTGGTCCAGCCTGATCTGTTTGACTGATTGGGCCATTTCAAATACTTATTCGACCTGGTCAATATTTTCTTTGGTATTCCAAGGTATGCACATAAACCCTGTAACGTCCCTGTTGCTCAAACCACATTTGCCTGGGTAAGTGGCGAGCACCCCTCTTTCCCTCTGCCTATGTTTATGTGAGACAAACCCTAAACCCAGGTACCAAAATTAATACTGGATTATCCAAACTGAATAGACTCTACTGAGGGATTTTTGTTAGTACAATAGTCACAGAGTAACAGAAACATTTACAATGGGCTAATGGGGTTTTCAGATACTATCCTGTTTCAGTGTCTGGGTCTATACGCTCTAGAATAATTAACATCGTGAGCTTCCAGAGTTTAAATAGAGACTGTGAAAACAATGGTCAGATATCAGAGCTGGTTTTATAAACAAACCAAACTGGTGCATAATCATGTGCATTAGTCCGTTGTACTTAATGTGCAGATCATGGCGCTTAGGACAGTGAGAGGGCAGGTTATATTCTTATCTTCAGTCATGAATGATGAAACAGTCAGAGCCAGGGATTGAAAATCAGCCGCTCATGGTTAGGGTGAAACTGGGATGCAGAGTTAGTCCATGCTCCCATGCAAGGTCTTAATCCTTATTCGAACAATCCAACCAGCCTATTTTATACCATGTCCAGACCCCTGAGCCTTACCGTGTCTGATGGTCATTGGCAGGTGGAATGGGCCCCTGGAGATGACCTGGCAGGTCTGAAACCACAGGTGATCCCATGTTGTTCCGAGCCTTGGTCCCCGTTACTTCCTCCTTCCTGAAGGACTGGCGCACTGGTGAGCTTCTCTCCATGGTAACTCCATGAGGTGGAACGCCATGAGGAGGCCCGCCATGGATGTCAATCATCCGTACCTCAGCCATCCGGTGAGGGGATGGGGGAGGAGTCTTGGAGCCCAGAGTAGGCAGCTGGCTGTTTCTGGACTTCTGCCTGTACAGAGAGGGGTGATCCATAGTGTCTGTGGGACTGGGCCCACTGTAAGAGCCTGTGGAGCGGATGGAGGCACGGTGAAATCCCCCCATGCCATGCTCTGGACCATCAAGCCCAGGGTTGGGGTGCGGTCCATGGGCGGTAGCCATGCTCATCCGTCCCTCCTGGAGCAGGTATGGATCTGCATACAACCCCTCATTTCCCCTGCTCAGACTGTGGCTCTTCCCCCCCATGTCCTCATCTGGCTTGACGTCCCGTCTCTCCAGGATGGCGCTGGGACAGGGCGAGATGGAGCGCGCTGGAGGGTTGGCATTAGACAGTCGGTCCCTAGGGATGGTGGCGCTGCCAGGTATGGAGCCCTGCCGTGGGCCAAATGGGATTCTGGAGGGGGACGGGGGCATGGAGTGGGGAGATGGGGGGAGTGTACCCTGCATTGGATGATGTGTTGGGGGACCCATGGGGGGTTGTCTCAGAGGGTGCTGTCCATCACTGTGCATCTAGACAATTACAAAAGCATATTTTTAACATTTACAAACATAACTGGATTTATTACTACTTGAAAATACTGCAATTCCCTTATCTTGAGGATTAGTCAATACACCAGACTGCATAGTTGTTCCTGCTTGAGAGCTCTAGCAACTGTTTATTTTGTATATATCCTGTATTTCTGGACTGCAGTTGCCCTTGAAACAAAAACATCCATCTAACTCAGTTTACACTGTTGCTTTTCAAAGGAAATACACTGTCAGCAAATTTTTCCAGAAGCAGAAAATAGTTACTTGCACTGCTACTATCCCCGGGTACACATAGCATTTCACTCAAAGTCCTGGTTATTATACCCACAGGCTTCTATAAAACAATATTACAACGTATGAACACAAGGTTCTTGTCTGTAGTTTTTTTATCAGGGTCTCTGGGAGATGAATTGCTCTCTTTCTCGCTTTCTAAAAGTTTTCATGTGCACCTCCCGGGCTAAAAGGTAGCTGGTTCATTTGCAACAAGATCTGTCTGGCATCGTCTAATTAAACAGTCAGCTTATCTGCGCCACTGTTCTTTAGCCACACTACCAATGAAAGACCTTTGAAGGCTAATGTACAATAAACCTAACCTCATTTAACTAGAGTGGCTTTCCGGGTTAAAGGAAACATATGAGAGATCAGGCTATACACGATAAAACTACAAAAAGGAGGCTAATGTAGGAAGGAAGTTAGGTTAATGTGGTCAGTTTCTCTACTTGTGCTATTATTACATTACATTATACCACTATGCTTCTGTTTTTTCATTGACCATTATTTTACTACTGTCACTTGTGGGCAACTGCATTAGCAATATATCACAGGTCTAAATTAGTTAGTTAAAACTTCTGGAAAAGAAAAGAAAAACAAACCTGACTGCAATATAGTGCGTTTAGCTTGAGGTAATTCTCCATAGAAGTAAACATGTGCCTGAAATGTAGTGTGTAAACAGAGAAATAACCTGTGGGTATGTGTTGCGCTGGATATGATAGACACTGTGCTGAGGAGTGTCACATGCAGGGACAAATCCAATCCATCTTCCTTCCTGTCTAACACTCTATTCCTGTCAAACAAACAAACTATTGTTCCTTCAAGGTATGAGTCATGAGTTACACCTACATGAGAAGACAAGTCAAAACATAATGCAAAGTTCTTTCAGAAACTTCTGGTACAGTTTTTGACACTGCGCTTTTTCAGTCTCCATGTAGTTTTCTTTCCTGGTGCCGACACAGATTAATACAATGAAGAGAACAATAAAGTGGGTGTGACACTTGTGTGTGTGTGTGTGTGTGTGTGTGAGTGAGTAGGTGTGTGTGTATGTGCAGGAAAACAACAACTGCTCAAAGTGTACCGTAACAAAGGGCTCAGGCTTGGCTGTGGTAACAAAGGAAAAACGAAAAAAGAAACTTGCTGGCAATGAAAGCGCACACAGCCCATAATAAACACAACAGCAACAAGTCTGACCAAGCAGCAAAACATGTAATAGGAAATTTGAGAAACCCCACAGCTGCCATCATCAGTAGACCATCATCAAACCCTAATGACTTTCACTATCAAAGGTGCTTACACACAATAAAAAAAAAAAAGAAGAAGAAGAAGAAGAAAAGTCGCCCTATTGTGCAGCAATTCCTGCAAAGCACCACATAACATCTCTGACTGCTTTGCCAATTCCAGCACAGCCTTATAAGAACACTTAAGGCCAAAGGGCATCACTTGTCAATCCCAAGCAGATGTTACACCTTTGGAGCACCAACTATTCTTAAAATATCCCTTAAATACACAGATTCTGTCTGTACAACATTCATAAATCACTGCTTTGAGACAAAACAGAGGAGCAAAGGCTTCGAAAATAAACACATGAGCAACCATGTCAGGCAAATGAGAGGCTGTGTTGAGAACATTTGGTTTGAGTTTGACTCGTGGACTTTCTTTCTTTTTCTTTCTTTTTTTTTTTTTTTTTTTAAAGACTCTCGCTCACCCTGTTTCCACCGCACTCTTAAGCTTCCAGTAATGAGGGCAGCCTGTCTGGTAGGAAGGCACAAAGTTGCCTCGATCTCTTTTGCCGTGTCAGAGACGGAGAGGGTTTCCGAACTGATTCACAAACTTCACAGTCTCAGAGGTAGCCGGGGCTAATCAGATAGAGAGAGGCTGAGCTGCAGCGTTCACGCAGAAGTGTGTCAACGTTTAAAGAGCGTGGCTGGAAACACCACGCTGCTGTCTGTGCACCCTAATGGTGTCAGTGATGAAACGCTTAGCTTGCTAATTCTTGTAATTTGTGAGTAAAATGAAGACAAACTTTTCAACTTTGAATAATAATGAAAAATTTGATCGATTGCCCAAAGGAGAATGGATCAGAGGGGTTAAGCCAATAACTGCACCTCTGTTTACAAAATACCTCCTACAGCTATGTGTACATAACATCACTTCTGACAGCCACTATTGACTATTCTATGAATACAAAGCACTGCTTTGGGCTCAATCCCTTACATAAGTACGGATTAATATTTCAAAATACTTTTTTTCATCAAATGAAACACGACAAAAGAGATTCTTCAAATGCGAGAAAACACCACTTTATTCTGACAGCCTGAGGCTTATTCTTCTTATCAAGTTACTTTGCAGTTACTGCGCGTATCTGTCCACTGTATATCAGTTACTGGCGGACAAGGCAGTTGTTTTCATGGGCAGAGACAGCTCTATTTGGCCAGAAAGCTTCAATCAATAACAGAGGTGACTGTGGATCCCGCTTTAAATCTGATCTGAGGCCTGGCCTTCCTGCAGGACAAGAGGGCACTCGATAGCCCAAACAGATCTGAATTATACCCGGATAACCTCCCACATCCACCGCCCCAACCCCACCCCCACCTCCACTCCCACCAGGGCTTGTTTAAACAGGTGCACAGCTCGTTAGGTTGTAGTATTTTTTTCATTTTGCTTTGGGCGCCAGGGTATTTCATCATCAAAAGAGGTTGTCAAGAAAAAAAATACAAACTTTGATTATAAAAAGAAGAACAAAACAAACCAAAAATCTGTAGTCTAAAAACTTTACAGCTGCCAAGCAGAGACACCGCTTGATAACAGGAGTCGGCAACGTCTGCGTGTTTGTGTCTGTGTGTTACAGCGTCTCAGTGTTTATGTGGAAATGCCATTAGAACAGAAAAATTTGGATGAATGCAACAAATGTCATGTAACTGCTTTGTTTCTGTCCTGTCCGGCACCATTCGACAACCTCCGCCACGTCCAGTCTTTGTCTCCGTGTCAACTGCTGCTGGGTTAAACAGTGACAGAACTATTCATGACAACAGCCTTCTTCAGCATATCTCTACTTCACGCCTAGATTTCACAATGTTTGCACAAGAGCCCTTAAAAGGTCTGTCTGGCTTCTCTTTGCTAAATGCACTTCAGTTCGTCCAGTAGAAGTTATATATTTTCAAAACTGCTGTATCAGCAAATTCCAGAGTTATTAATAATAAGAAAAACACTGCACAACAAAGGTTGAGAAATCTCCTCTACACAATCCAAATGATTCAGATGATGTCAGTTTGCAACCTTTGCTGCTTTTAGACCATTTGCACTTTATCCGATGCATCTTTTTTTTTCTCAACAGTCATTTGTTCACTTCCCCTTGAAGGCCCCCCCCCCGTCAAAGAAGCAACTCGCCTTCCAGCACCAGAGGCTGCTACATGTTTTCTGCGGCACCTCAAAGTCATCGCGCCATCTGAACCAAGACCTCTAAAACCATCGTCAGGTATGCCTCATCATTCCTTAAAACTTTATCACTTTCACTTCACACTTATATGACAAATACAGTATGTGGCAGTGGGAGATTATAGTTAAGGTTAATGTAATTTTTGCAGTATCACAATAGCACTGTGACGGGGCCTGGAAAGCAGCAGCAGGCGGAGAGGAGCAGCGGGTTAGATAAAGGGTCAGGCGGATTAGAGAGGCGGATTTGAGGAGGAACATTCGAGGAAAGGGCTCTTTGGGGCTTTAGTTTTGTTACATCAGCAGGAAACAAACATGCTGGAATCAGAACAAGAGAAAGAGATTAGAGCTGATATTGGGGGAAGAATGAACAACAGGAACAGTCCTGAGAATTGAGTTCAATTGTCCCTTAAGCAAGCTGCACCAGAGCATACAGGCGAGGCCGAATCACGGGCCCCTGGGAGAACAATATGAGACCCCCTCTAAACAGATTAACAAGAGGCAGGGGGACATTCCTTCCCTTAACTGCAAACAGGATGTGAGATCAAGAAGAACTAGAGGCTGGGCTTACTATTCTATCTACAACACGTCTGGCCATCTCCCTGCAGCTGCTGCTGTTAAGGAGATAATAATTTTCACCGCTGTGTTAGCTCTTGTTACGGTTAAGTACTCACCCTGGCATCGCCGTTGGCAGGTCTCGGCCCATGGCTGAATGCCTGCGCTGGGTCTTTGTGGTAGACCTTCAGGCAGGAGTGGTCTGTGATGTTCCTGTAGGGAGAAGAGGTGCGCCGCGGTAAGAAAGCAGCCCAGGTATCACCGTCAGACAGCGGCCGATCCTGCCTCAGCCTGGATCTCTTTAGCCGCTCTGCCAAGGGCACATACCCTGACAGAGGCTCAAACAGTCCTCTGTTCTGTGACATTTCCTCTAAATCTCCAAAGACTACAAAAACATCCACTAATACTGTGTTAAAACGTGGCTCAACTGCATAAACTGAGAGCGGATCTGTTCTTTCTTTTGCGACTCTCGCTCTCTCACTGTGTTGTTGCACCCTGGACACCTGTACCCACCTTAAGGAATCACGAGACAATTTTTTTACAGCCCTGATAAAGAATTAGTCACAAAGTACACATCGCACTTGAGCGGGCTCGCTGGGGAAAAAAAACAGGGCAAAGTCGCTTGAGTCTTCGAGAGTAATGTTTTTTTTTTTTTTTTCTGAAAAACAACTACAACGAATGGCTGTATACTGCCTCTGTGCATAGAGTCTGCTTTATTATTGATAAGACATGCAGGCGAATACCAAACCAGGAAGGTATAAAGTACAAGGAAGAAGAAAAGCAGTGAGCTAGTATGTGTGCTTGTAAATGATACACACAACATAGCACACAAGTCTTTGGAAGCGACACTCTGAAAAAAATAAAAGGGCCTCAAAAAGTGTAAAAAGACAATGTTTGCATTGCTCAAACTTTCCGGACTCAAACTTTCACCAGAGGAGAGAGGACAACAGGCAGGAAAGTCATCAAAGTCTCTCAAGAGCGCTCTTCAGTTTTGCTTGGGTATATCGGAGACATTTCGCTGTAGGGCTCCATCTGCCACATAACTTTATTTCCTATTAAGTTTTCACACGGAGGGAAAAGGAAGTGAGGAGCTTTCCTGGCCAGTGACACTTCCTGTTCAGGGGGAGTTTAGACAGGAAGTGCTCAGGGAGAGGAAAAAGAGAGGACATTTAAGGGGAAGAGTAACTCTATGGAGAATAATGAACCTTGGATGAACTTAAACTGGCAAAACACAATATACAGTACGCTGTCCACTACACATTCCCGATCTCTTATTCTGCATCCACATTTATAACACGCAAAAACATGTCTTTACCTGACGTCAGTGAGCTCGTAGTACATGTTCCTCATGTCGTCTTTGACGTAGACGGCGACGCTGGGCGACTCCAACATCTTCATGGTGAGCTGCTGCGGGAAGGCACTAACAAACAGAGCTCTGACCGTGTCGATGCTCGTGATCTCATTAGGCATGCGGATCTGTTTGGTCTCGTCCCCGTACTGCAGGTACAGCACACCTTCAAACAGAGAGCAAGACAGGTGTGTGATTTCCATACCTTGCAATAGTGATACACTGTTTTTGTCCCCCCTCCCCCCAAGATTGTAAACTCAATGTTTTTTCAGAGACTAAAGAAGTTGAGCCCTTCTTGCAGTGTTAATCTGGTAATGCAAACACACCACCTCATGCAGCTACGTAACAGTAAAAATCCCCCAATTCCAAACCAACCACTGCAGGGCTTTTAGTCTTTAAGCTGCTGCACAAAGTATTGACTTAGGGGACGCAGTTAGCAAGTTATTCTGCTCAGTAGAAGTTGCACAGAATCTAGAATTGGACCTTTTTCAATAATGTTTTGATCTTTTAAGATCAATGTAAGAGCAGAAAACAGCAAGAGCAAAAACAGAACTGGTCAAACAAAAAGGCGTGGTTATTTATTGCAGATCGGGTAAGCCTCAAACAAACTTTACCACATGAAATAGACTGGTATATATATTAAATATTTGATCAGATTAAAATGTGAAAAAAATCAGTTTCTTCATTTTTCCACTGCTTTACCATTAATACCATCAAACCCTAGCACCTGACAGAGACCAAACACATTCAACCTTTACACTTTCTGTGTATGTAAATGGCTACTTGACTTACTGGAAGTCACCATTTGTTGGTTTGGAAATTATTCTTTCGACTTTTGAATTGGGCCACAGAACGAATGCTTACCCTCAATTGGAGCGCAAAGGACAAAACCTTTGAGGAGATGAAAATGTTTCTCATAAATATAGTTTCCTAGTCGATTGCTGTTTTCAAACACGTGTAATACGAACACGACTGACGTGATAATTAACTACTTGACATTAAAAAGTGAGTAGGGGAAGGAATAGGGGAGCAGAAGTAGGGCTGTGTGCACAGGGTGGAACAGCACAAGTTGTGCATCAAAAAGACCAAAGTCTGAACCTCTGAACCCTGGGTGTGGCTTCTGCACTGTGCTTTAGAAAAACAGATGTCTCTCCCACAAAATTTATGGACACGCCCACACTGCACTTGTATAAACAATGCCAGGGAAAAGGAAAAAAAAAAAAAGAAGACATTTCTATTTCTAGTCTCTGATTCATTGCTTCAAAGAGCATGGCACTGATTTCTACGGGGGGGTTATCTGTAGCATTAGCAGAATCTTAATGAAAAGAACAAAGAAGTTTAACCAGTTAACGCTGGTTCTTTAATTACGTTGTATCATATTCAATGAGAACTTTCCCGAATGTCACATTTCATCAATCTCTGAGACAAAAAAAAAGTTGTTGTGATACAAATAAATCGATCGTTTCAGAGACATTTTTCAATGAAAATAGCTGATTTTAAGGAAAGGAGATATGGTTTTACTTGGTGTAACCCCATAAAAGGACCGAGCCAGTAAAAGCTACCAGATGTTGGTGAAATATTATACAAGATCCTACATGCTCCACGAGACAGAGTGAGACAGAGAGAGGGCAAATGCAGGAAATAAAATTGCTGAGTCTATCCATTGCTCTGGTCTGTCTGGGATTCTGGGTAGCAATAACTTAACAAAGTGCCCATTTGCAGACTAACATCATCTTCCCCCCCTGAAGAAGATCCCCTGAGAGCTGTTATGTTAACAGTCGGCTCATTTTCACCCAGATGTTAGCAACTAGGGTGAATAAGTTTGATGACAAAGCGCCATTGATCGAGCAAGCGTTATGAAGATCTGAACTCTTTAACATCAGTTGCATTTACTGCAACAAAGTCGAATAGCTCGGTTCTAACAAAGAGTCGTGTTACATTCCTCAGCGCCTGGTTTCACTCAGGATTGGAAGCAAATGGCCAGTGGGTTTCCTGACCAAATGGGCACAGCACAGCAGACTGTCTGAGTTTTAAACCAGTTTTCCACATCTCTCCACTGAGACACAAAAGTTTAAACGAAGCGCAATCATGAAAAACGTCAATCTGTGTCCATTAATATTATCACAAACTTTGAAACGCAACGAAAGAAGCAGAAAACTACTATATAAAGAACTACAGGAAGAAATGACGTGAAACACAATACACTTGATGCCACACTCGAGAATGAATCTGATACTCACAATAGGGGTTTTAAAGATTTCCTGTTTTCTGCAGAGTCTTATGATGCTCTGCAAAAGACCACGCGACAAGATACTAAGCCCCAAATGTCCGTTGGGACCCAGCGAAGTGTGTGTCTGTGTGTTTGTGTGTGTGTGCATGTGTGTGTGAGACTGTGGGAGGGACACTGTAGTAAAGAGGTGCCCCTTTTTTTCTCCTCCCCCTTCATCACACCATAACCCCCCACTGTCCTCACGCTTTGTCCTGATGTTTTTGAGAGAGAGAGAGAGAGAGAGAAAAGAGAGAGATGGAGCATGTGTGTGAGTGTTTTTGTGTGTGTGTGTGTGTGTGTGTGTGTGTGTGTGTGTGTGTGTGTGTGTGTGTGCATGAATGTGTGGCAAAGCATACTTGTTGAGAGTGTTTTTATACAGGTTTTTGCATTTCTGCTACTCAAGCAAAGGAAGAGGCACTACTGGCACCGACGAGTGTGGAAAACGACACCCTATAGTTTCATTCATTTTCAGTTTGGTCAAAAGGCGTGCCACTCAGACGCTTTGCTATTATCCAGCAGCAGATGCCTTGCTGAGCTGTGAGCTACCTTTGAAGACTATCCTCCTGAAATAATACAGCCTCTACACTTTGTTTGGGGGAGTTCTCAAACTCTTTCCACCACCCTCACCCTAATGCAGCAACCTAATTCTGTACAACTTTTAGAGTTTCTGCATATGGATGCAAATGAAGCACCGTCTGCGTTGATAAGACGACCCATTTCTAATCCTGTCAATAACACGATGGCATATTGTGGATGGATTCCCTAATCTTTCACTACAGAGGAAATGAATTCTAATTAAAACAGAGCTGTGAGCTGAGGTGGAGAGAGGAGGGAAAGAGGAGAGGAGAAGATAGATGGAGTGTGAGGAAAAGAACTTGGACTGTCAAGGTGAAACAGTGAGATCATGGTGTGGTGAGAATTTATTTCAGGGAGTTCTTAAGTTATGCCAAGATTATGCTAAAAGAGCTGGAAAATGTAAGGTTACTGAACAGGATTCATGTCAAACCACTTCCACTTCTGTCTATTCACGAAAGTCAGTTTAATATTTAAGATAGAGCCTTTATTTTCAATAATATAATAATAAGAATAAGAGTGTAAGAATATTGCCAGTTTGGGGATTTTGGGTGAGGAATAGAAATACAAGACAGTCGACTGAAACATTTTGTGGTAAATAACAAGAACGGAAAAGCTTAAATTCTGACTGTACTGTCATACACTAAAGCCTAATACATAGTGTACCTAGTGAGCGGTCCTTTGTCTGGTTGGTCGATCGGACCACAGGCAGGCTGGCACGAACCCGGCTGCCGCGGGTGAAGGCTGTAGGTGCGTCGGCCTCTGACATGGCATCCAGTGACTCTAGGGAGGCCAGGGAGAGGTGGTCAATGTGGTCGCCGATGCTGGGCTGGGGGCTGGGGCCGTGCTTTGGGCTTCTGCTCTGGAGGGGGGAGGCACATGGAAACATAATACGGTAAGGGTGAGACCACGGACACGGTGTGCACAAGATGATACAGTACATGCATAAGTTTTATATTCTGGAAATGTCACAACAAAGTTTTCTAAATTTCCACTGTATGTCAAACATACTCTTTTAGATATTATACAATTGGTGAAGTTAGGAAACAAAAAAGTATCCGCCATTCTGACAATGTCAAGTGTGTTATGAGTCACACACACATTCTCTGGCAAGCTGAAAGCAAGTGGCTTTGATGTTGACTTTGAGCTTGACTCCAGCACAACCACCAAATAAACCAAATGACTTCAGTCATGCAAATGTGCAAAGGAGTGTTAATATTGTATGACACTGATACATGCTCACACATCTAATACTGCTGAGTACTGTCCCACAAGCACCTCATTGCGCTTAAATCTGTCAAGCATGAGGAGGTGGAAAAAAAAAAAAGAAAAATCATACTGAACAGTGTGTGAGAGAAAAAGTTTTTTATGAAAGAGATCAAACAGAAACCAACAACATGAGTTCTAAAGAAGAGGAAATTCCTTTTGACCACTCATTAAGGATCAAGAATCGTGTCATCAAAATTCAAAGATCAGTTGGCTCTGCAATCAGATCTGCATGACGTGGCTTCCTCAGGCCACAGCTACAATAAGATGATGTGTGACATGACTACAGAGCCCATTGAGCTATTATGTGGTGCTGTAAGGTGATCTGTACCACAGGGACAAGGTGGGACTCAAACTGCGGGGTCAGTGAACACAGGGCTCTTTATGAAATGCTCTTCTTCCCTGGCAGAAGTGTGGTGCTGTAGAGCTAATGCAGCTGGAGACACAAGGCCAGGTCCACCAGGTTATCTTGAACACACCTGCATGCGCACACTTCTCTTCTCTCACACTCACAAACAAACGGACAAAAAAGGAATTGAAGCATTTTATATAAAGTGCAGTTGACATTTTTGTGAGCTTTCATAGCCAGAACTGGTTTCGCCTGGTAGCCAAGTGTGCTTGGCAGGCCCAGACAGGGCAGACGTTAAAAGACATGGGGGCACAGGGGCTGGGAACAAAGTCACACAGCAGATGTTAGTGAGGATGCAAACACGACCACACACACACACAATGGCATGATGCAGATAAGATAAAAGGCCGACTAACTCTGTGGGGCAATTGGATTTTCATCAAGTACCTCTGAATGTCAAGTTCAGAGTGAAGGGAGGAGAGCATGCCCTGTAAAGACTGATGGAAGAAAAGAGGGGAGAAGGAGAAAACAGAAAGCAAATGGCTGAGAAATGCCAGCGGGAGGGTGAGATGGAAAAAGAAATGGTCATCAAACAAAACATAGGAACCATGGAAACAAATCAATGTCAACAGCAGACCAAAGAAAGGAAAGAGGCTGAAAAGAGAACCTAGATACACGCGTATCTTCAATCCAATCTAACAGTTTATTTAAGTGGCAGAGACAGTTTAAAACTACTTACCACTTTTTATAAGCTTATTTGAGTTTAATGAGTTCTGACATGGAAATCCTTGAAACCCCACCACTTAATAATTCTACAGGTACATTAATTGCCATCATTTATGTAACGGGATATCTTTACATCTATCTTCATCCATCTTTTTTTTTTTTTTTTTTTTTAAATAGATCATTTCTAATCATCATCCCTCTGTGATATTTGCTGAATCGTAGTGTGCCAGCATTTATGTGATGCACCTTTACAGCGACCTGACACAGCAGGCAAAACTGTTGAGCCATCACTCGACTCCTGTAATTCCATTCAAATACGCCTCGGCTGCAGCACCCTGGAATTAAAAATGTGCCCTTATACTGTTAATGCACGATGATAGTCACCTGTTAAAACAGAGAGGTCACATGCAGTTGACGTGTCACCTGAAACCCGACATGTGTTGGGAAATTTAATCTGAACACTGAATGATTTATGAGCATATTCAGTCGTGGTGGGTCCAAACAGCTCTCCCACACTGCTGTTCTATCCTCTCATATGCTACTGTGTCACCCTTGGGAGTTTGAATCATACTGGCTTCCTCCATCACCTGTAGGTAGTAATTATGTCAGAGTGGTCTGGCAGGGTAATCCAATATCTTATGAAATACCAGAGCGGGGGAAGAAGAACTTGCATTCAAACCTGCATATAAACATTTACTGAACTATCACATTTTCTGGGTTTTATTGGATTTTTTTGCATGAAAAGGGATACAAGTGAAGTAAATTATACTGTAGCCATCAGATAGAGCTGGGTGATATGGCTGAAATCAACAAAGCTTTAATAACTAATATTGTTGATTTTTAATTACAATTGGCTGCAATCATTCATTTGCAGAAAGGAATTTAAAGACTTCACAAAGTCATATTATTTGCCCGACGATGAGATAAATGTAGTTGAATAAAAAGCCAAATATTAAAATGTAGCAGAAAGGACAAAAAAGGACAAATAGTCACTTTTTGGCATGTATGATGAGAAGACCACTCTCATGCTGAAAGAGCCAGGCTAGCTAGTTTCCCCTGCTTCAAGTCTTTATGCTAAGCTAATGTCTTCTTTTAATTTTGTGATAAAACAATTGAAATGTGACACAAAAAAATGATGTAACATCAACACAAGAATAAGTAATCAGGTTAGCTATGTGGCTCAGTGATAAAGTTTGATAACATTAGCCGCTTTAAGCTAGCTGGTCATACCAGACCAAATAAGACTGTAACAGCACAACCATTGAGTGTATAGACTTAAAACAGATTGCATTTTATTGTTTCATTTTTTAACTTTCAATCTTAAAAAGAAAACTGTGTTATTCCTTATTTTTAAAGTTACATAGTCTTACTTTAAGTATGCTAATTAAAACTGTTACTTTCCACTTCTGCCAATTTTCAGGAAAACGAATGAATAGACACAATGCGACAGCTAGAGAAGAAGAATTACACAGGAGTAAAAGATAGTTACAGCGGAAGCAGTCACATATAAAAGAGGAGGAAATTGCAAATGAGACCTTCTGCGTCCCGATGGAGAGGGGTAATTAAGTTAAACCACTCCACACCGGTCCACATCTGACAAATGAGGCGTCCCCTCCAAAGGTCAACAGTTTAGTTCAGATTAACTCCTCTGTCTCTCTCCCCGCTTCTTTGTCTCGCACGCACGCAGAGCCCATGATTCTGACAGCAGCTATGTATGAAAGTGCTGCAATGCCTTCCATCAAAAGCCACTTCCTGTCCCCGCTAACCACTTCCCGCTTTAGGGTCCAGATGTGAAAACCGCAGGCCAACCGATGATTAGCACCGTAAAACCTGCTTCAGCCCGCTCACACCTACGGTACATTCCACACCAGTGATTTCCCCTCCTTCAGTCAAAACCATACGGCCTGTGATTCTGCTTTTTCAGCAGCGGCTCCCTCTGTACACCACATCTGCTCTGACAGCTATGATGAATGTGAAACTGAGACACTGACATTAGCTTATACACAGGAATATGACAAGGTTTAGAGTCATGTAAAGAGCCCCTTGGGAAGGAACGTGTCTTGAAAATATATTTAGAAAGTGGCCAAGAAATCAGAAAATGCCTTCCACAATGATGGTGGGTTGTGTGTGAAGTGCTGCAGCCAGTGTCAGTGGCTTGTTATTATAAGACTTGTGTCAAATACTCACCATGATTCCAGTATGTCAGAGCAGGTCCAGAAATAACTCAAGGGAATTTGCCTCATATAAATGCTCATGAATGCAAACTGCTCTGTTGCAGCAGAACTTTTCCTCAGGCCATCACACGCTTACTCACAAATACACTAAACTTTGTGCCTTAAAATTTCTAATTGTCTTGAACATAGCTTGCAGGAGCTTTATATGAAATCGATGTCAAGTTTAATGTAATGTGGACATGTGACAATTAGGCAAACGACTATGCTTGCAGGGAAAATGAATACAAGATGAGAGAAGTTCACATGTGTGCTGTCTGTGTGTTGTGTGTGTGTGTTTGAAAGAGAAAGAAAGAGGGATACAAAGAGAGACAGAGTGCCTGCATGAGTGAGTCAGGCCATTGTTCCAGAAAATCTGACCTGAACCCAGGACATCCTGAAAACATTTATGCAACAGTGGTCTGACAAACAGTATGCTGTCATCAGAACGAAAGCTCAGGTCTGTGTTTGTGTCTGCATTCCCCACAATGTAACATTCAAATTTTATAGGTCAGTGCAGGTACATGTGATAATGACTATTCTGCACTCGCCTACAATGCCGACATCTCACTCCTCACTTTATCTGCACCTCATGAGCATGCATGTACAGCATGGATGCTTGTCTTTGCTACCTGCCACTTGTTAAGAGAGAGTTTAACGCTGAAGGGACAATGCTGCATAATTTCACAAAGCAGAGCAGATTATTTCATATTATGCGGCCCCTGTCTTAGCTCCTGACAGACAGGTTGATATGCGGAGCCCCGCGATTACAGTGAAGTTAAGTAAATGGCAGCTCCCATCAGGAGCCTGCTGTGTCACTCATGGAGATCGAAGTATAGACATAGCCCTAAAAGCTACAAGAGCGTCATGTACTACACCTACTGCCAGCCTTAACAAAGCCTACTGATTGGTGCCTTATTTCTTATACAATCAAAATAGCTCAGGTTATAATAGCTTTATCATAACAAAGTCTGGCTTTCACCTTAAAAACGAGGGCATTCTCATAATATCTCTGCAACCATGTTAATCTTTTTCACCTTTTGGCTGCAGAGATTTCTGTGACGACAGATACTCTGCAAGTCAGCTACAAGACAGCTTTTACCTACATGTATTCAACTGCAACAACATCCACTATCAGAGTCCTACTGCAATTGCGTGCATTCATGCATCATCTCTCATGTACACAGAGCTAACACACACTGCACAAACAGGTAACAGCTTGTGTGGTTTTAAACACAAACTTAAGCGTTGTGAGCACGGCTTTCCACTTAAGATGCTAATGTGGTCGGGGCTCTGGGGAGAGGAAATAGA